AGAGTAAAACGGGAGAGTGGAGGCAGGTCCACAATAGAGCAGCCATTATCTTATTGAATGATGAGGCAGGTGACAATTTCTAATGTTCTTAACTCTAAACCTCTCTGTCTCTTCTTTTCCATCCCTTAAAGCTAGAATACCATTTCCAACATCCAGTTCAAATTGGTGTTCATTTTGTCTAATTATGCATCACCTCCATGCTAAAAGGAAATTTCTAGAGCAACCACCTCAATTCCTTTAATTGAAATACTACAAGTGCAGAGAAAGGACAATTACCAGACGAGGAACAGGATTTTAAATATCATTATCATTTTTGCATTAGGAACAAGGAAATTTGTACACTCAACATTTTTGACCTCAGGGATTGTACCTTCATTTGTCATTCAGATCTTTAATACAACATTAGCTCAGTAGCAAATATGCCCTCTTGACACAACAGAGAAAAAGAAGACTTTCCTGATTACAGGATAGCGCAATGTGTTTAACAGTTAATTCAGCACTTTTGAAGTTATCTCTTTTAGTTTCTAATTTTGAAGTGCACATGTAGTGCAGTCAATTTTTGCACAGCATGTTTTCACAACCAGCAATGCGATCGTGCCCAGATGATTAATTTAGATGTTGGTTGAGGAATAAATATTGGTCAGGACACCATGGAGGACTCTCCTGTTCTTCTTTAAAATTGTGCCATGGATAATTTACATCCACCTGAGATGGCAAATGTAGCCTTAGATTAACTGGGTGGCATTGTATCTCAATTATTAGCACTGTTGCCTCACAGCGCCAGGGATCTGCGTTCGATTCCATCCTCAGGCAATTGTCTATGTCGAGCTTGCACATTCTCCCTGTGTCTGTGTGGGTTTCCTCTGGGTGCTCTGGTTTCCTCCCACAGTCCAAAAATGTGCAGGATAGGTGGATTAGCCATGCTAAATTGTCCATAGTGTCCAGGAACATGTAGGCTTGGTGGATTAGCTGTTGGAAATGCAGGGTTACGAGGATATGGTAGGCGAATGGGTCTGGGTTGGATGTCCACAAGTGTGGACTTGATGGGCCAAATGGCCTGCTTCCACACTGTAGGGATTCTATAATCCTAATGAACCAAAAGAGGTATCACTGACTAATATGCAGTCCTTATGGGATTTTAATCTGCAATCTTTTTGCACAGAGGCAATAATAACACCTATTGATGCAGAGCTTTCAGAATCACCAACATTCTCCAGGTTTTCTTCCTGTATAGGATGAGCATCTTGACCTTCATGGATGATAATTCTTCTGAGATCAATAAATTGTCCACCATGGATCAAATCTAGGACAGTATTGATTGATACCATATCATGAGGGACATGTTGCACGTGAGCAGATGGATGCTGAGGGCTGAAGGAATGAGACCATGATGTTCTCCATGTTGCTAATATTCCTACTTGGCTCAAAAATGAATGTGAGGAAGCCAACAGAAAAATGACTTGAATTTTACATATTTCAGCTGCTAATTCTTGACACAAAACTTTCCATGTTATCTTTCCAACTCTTTCTCCTTTGCAATGTGACTATTGAAATCCTATTTCTTTAACTAAGCTTTTAGTTATTTGTCCAAAAGTCTCTTAATATGACTTAGGGTTGAATTTTGCTTGAAAATGCTTGACCCTTGAGATTTTGTTATTTTGGGGTATTATAGAAATACAATGGGGAAGTGATGGCATAGTGGACAAGTAATATAAAGGCTCGTGTAATGTTTTCGGGACTCAGATTCAATTCCCATCATGGAAGATGGCAGAATTCAAATTCAATTAAAAATCTGAAATTAAAAGACTTTTAGGAAAAGAAAATTACTGGTCTACATGTGACTTCATACCCAAAGCAATTTGGTTGAATGTCATTGTGTACAGGTCAGGGTACCACATTATAAGAAGGATATGGATGCATTTGAGAGAGCGCAGAAGTGCTTTACAAGAATGGTTCCAGACATGAGGATAGGTTGAAGAAATTGGGATTGTTGTCCTTGGAGAGAAGCTTAAGAGGAAATCTGATCGAGGATTTATAAATACTGAGACGGCTGGATACAGTAGGTAAGGAGAGATGTCCTGCTTGTAAAAGGAACAAGAATAAGATGGCACAGATTTAAAGCGATCAGTTAAAAATAATGAGGAAAAATATTTTCACTCAGTGAGTAGTTAGGTTATGGAATACACTAGGGTATGGATGCACTGCCTGGAGTGTGGTGGAGGCAGGTTCAATTAAGGTCTTCAAGAAGGCATTTGATGATTATTTGGATAAAAGTTATGTGCAAGGGTATTGGGGAAAGAACAGGTGATTGACACTAGGAAATGATGTTTATTTAACAAACCGGTGAATGGCTGTAACAAATCTATGATTCTGTGAAGTTTTTGTTGTTGAGAATGAAAAAATGGGGAAACAAACATGATCGTGGTAAAGTTGCTGAATAGCCTTACAATAGTAGATAGTCATTTTGGTCCCAGGCAAAATCTGAAATGATACCACTGAGCAATTCACATTTTTTTATATAATAAAGCAAACAAATAACTGTGGATCCTGAAGATCTGAAATACACAAAAGCAGAAATTGGTAGGGAAAGTACGGTACAATCTGTGGAAAGAGAAAAGAAGAAACAGAAGAATCTGAAGAAGGGTCATTGGACTCAAAATGTTGACTCTATTTTCTTTCCTAAAATTATGATACCATTTCTAATATCTAGTTCACCTTGGTGTTAATTTTGTCTGACTATGCCTCACCTCTGCCCTAGAAGCAAATTAGTAGCGCAACCACCTCAATACCTTTAATTGAGATCGTACACTGTTTGTGGGTGTTGGTTAGCTCAGATGGCTGGACAGCTGGTTTGTGATTTAAAGTGATGCCAACAGTAGGGTTTTAATTCCTGCCCTGGCTGAGGTTACCATGAAAAAAACCCTTCCTCCCATTGCCAATGCATCTCAAAGATAAGGATGGGCTGCAAGCTCCAACCCAGTGCTTGGGTAGCGGGTCCCAGAGTAGCGTGTGGGCAGCAAGTCCTGGAGCAGCATGTGGGGAAGCAGCCCCGGAGCAGCATGAGGAGAGTGAGTCCCAGGCAAAGACTGGCTTGGGGGAGGCAGTCCTGGAACTTACCTTGGAGCAGCTGAGTGCCATTTCGAAGCAGACTGGAGACTTGGAGTGAAGTGGAGACAGCTGTTAGACTGGGGTCTGGCGTGGTGGCCAGACCACATGTGGAGGCGGCTTCTACAAAGTAACGTTTATTTGAATTTTTTTAACCTGACTGTAAAGTCAATCTTTTAATGATGTCTTATTTCTAACTTATTTCTTAAACTCTGTAATGTAATGCAACTACTTTTTATTCCTCTTTTGTGTCCAAGATTTGTATCTAGGTACTTGTGCTGAAGATGGTTCTATAAGAGGCAGACATTGTAAAAACTTTTCACTGTACTTCTACAATGGAGTACATGTGACAATAAAGGATATTCTTCTATTCTCCTCAACTTCTCCCAACACCTGAGGTGCGGTGACCCTCAAGTTAGACCACCACCAGTTGTCTCTAATGAGAGAGCAGCCTGATGGTCTGGTAGGACCATGGTGACTTTACATTTTACTCTTTTTTCTTTCTAAAGATACTGCCAGACCTGCTGAGTTTCTCCAGCAATTTCTGATTTTGTGTGTTTCACATTATTTACAGTTAGTCAGTTGACTAATTTTAATTCACTTGTCTGAATAGAAGAATTTGCCTCTAAAGCGAAAGTCAATGACCTGAAGCGTTAACTCTGCTTCACTTGTAAATGATTTGGAAGAAGGAGTGGAAGGGTGGATTAGTAAGTTCGCGGACGATACAAAGGTGGGTTGAGTTATGGATAGTGCGGAGGGCTGTTCTAGGTTACAATGGGACATTGATAGGATGCAGAGCTGGGCTGAGAAGTGGCAGATGGAGTTAAACCCTGAGAAGTGTGAGGTGATTCATTTTGGAAGGACAAATTTGAAAGCAGAATGCAGGGTTAACGGAAAGATTCTTGGCAGTGTGAAGGAGCAGAGGGATCTTGGGGTTCATGTCCACAGTTCCCTGAAATCTGCCACCCAGGTGGATAGAGTTGTTAAGAAGTCATAAGGTGTGTTAGCTTTCATTAATAGAGGCATTGAGTTCAGGAGCTGTGAAGTTATGCTCCAGCTATACAAAAGCCTGGTTCGGCCACACCTGGAGTATTGTGCCCAGTTCTGGTCGCCTCATTACAGGAAAGATGTGGAAGCGTTGGAAAAGGTGCAGAGGAGACTTACCAGGATGTTGCATGGAATGGAGGGAAGGTCTTACGAGGAAAGGTTGAGGGAGCTAGGGCTTTTCTCTTTAGAATGATGAAGGATGAGAGGTGACTTGATAGAGGTGCACAAAATGATCAGAGGTATAGATAGAGTGGACAGCCAGAGACTTTTTCTTTAGGTGGAAGTAGCTATTACGAGGGGGCATAGTTTTAAAGTGAGTGCAGGTGGATATAGGGGAGTTGTCAGAGGTAGGTTCTTTACTTAGAGAGTGGTCGGGACGTGGAATGCATTGCCGGAGAGAGTAGTGGAGTCGGCCTCGTTAGGGGCATTTAAGCAGCTTTGAGATAGGCATATGGATGATAGTATAAGGTAGGGGTGGAGGTTAGATAGACCTTAGGTTTAGGGTAAAAGTTCGGCAAAACATTGTGGGCCGAAGGGCCTGTACTGTTCTATGTTCTTTTTACGCCTGCTGAGAATTTATAGCAATTTTAAAAATTATTTCCAGCGATATTTCTGCTTGTGAATGGCAGTGAGACCTCCCAGGCTCAAGAGGTCAGTACTGAGTCAGGCGGAGGCCGTTGGATACTCTTTCCTCTTGACCTGTCAAGAGCCGTTTAAGGAAATTCGGCGCTGCTGTTGCTTTGGGGTGGGTGCGTTTACGTCATCGTGATGGACGTGAGGATAATCCTATCCTCTTTCGAGACAGGCCGCCGGCTGGGCCAACGAGCGGCGGGTGGAGGGGCGGGGCCTCGGCGGTGTTTGCGGCCGCGTATGTTGCTGAGGTGAATAAACAGTCGAGAGCCGGTATCCTATCAGTCAGAGGAATGTTGTTGACAGGACTGCTGTTTGGTGAAAGGGTGGCGTCGAATTGAGGAGGGTACCGGGGATAGACTCCTCGGGTGTTCTGGGCCTCATCTTCCATTATCTTGCCCTGTTTTTCTTTAGACCTATTGGAGTCTTTTAAGGAGCTACTTCGGCCGAGGACGGTGAGTCGGGGGGGGCGGTGTGACGGTGGTGGCTGCTGCTGCTGCTTCCGCCCAAAGGAGGAAACAACTGTCTATTTACAGAGAGAAAAAACTGCATATGTAAACAATGGGAATTCATTTTAATTTAATTTTGAAAATCCTGACAAATAAAACCTTATTTTGAGGGAGTTGCGGTGACTGTCCTCCTGCCCTTGTAAAAGTGAACGTTCAGGCACATTTTAACCCTGTCCCCGTTTACCCCCCCACCCACCAAACATGAGAATTTACAAAAAGCACTTCAGTTTTGTTTTCCATTTGCAAGCTCGAGAGTCATATTTTAAATTATTTTTCTTTGAAAGCGGCTATGCTGTTATCCAATGAATGGTTCCACTAGTGACGTAACAAGGGAGCCATTAATGGGATGGTTCAAGTGACGTAATTGTTGGGGAACTACAGGAATGGCACCTTCGTGATATTCTTGGACTTTCTGTTAATTGGAAATATTGCCCGTTCATGATTTGGAGTTACAGGGTCTGAAGCGCAATGTTTCAAACAACTGATTTTATGCTGCAGTTGGTGTTGTTGTCTAGAAAGTTGGTTATTGTTTTGCAGCTGCTTATTTTGGATTTCCACTCGTGATCAGGGCCAGAAATGTTTGATTGCACCATCCCTTCTCTTTTTGGAGGAATTGCCTGGTTCTGTGACAGCTCTGCAGCTTTACATAACTACTATTGAATTGTGGAACAATGCAGTGTAAAAAGAGGTTATTTGGCTCTTTGAGCCTGCTGGCTCTTTTCAAAAGTAGTTTGTTCCTTGTTCTTCCTCCTTTTTATCCTTGCTGTTTTATTTACTTTCAAATATTTATCCAGTTTCACTTAAAAGTATGGTTGAACCTGTGGACCTGTTTTATGTTACAATTCTCTCTGGCAGTTTAATGGAAGTTGTGTGCCATTGTGACAGTTTCATTTTCCTCCTTGCTGAAAACTTTCATTTCAACAAATCTGAAAATGTTGCATTCAGGAGAATGATCAGTTTATAAAGTGGTTTGATTAGATCCACTGGATCTTTGTACAGCATCTTTCAGCATACTATATGACCTGGAGATCTGAAATAAAAGCAGTCAGTGCTAGAGGAACTCATCAGATCTGGCAGCGTCTGTGGAGAGAGAAGTGGAGCTAAAGTTTGATTCCCATGACTTCTTTGGAACATTTGAGATCATTCACTTACTGTTACCTTGGTTACTGATGGTGGCCTCTTAGCCATCCTTCGTTGAGCCCATTTGTTCATTATTTTTGAATACTACTACTTAATCAACTGCACCCAAGCATGCAGAGCATCTTTAATGCAAATTGAAGAAAAAGGGTGGGTCACTTTATTACTCCTTGGAGCTGTTCACATTGATTTTTATCTTTGTATCACGTTAGCTGTATGTACTAAACTCAGCATAAAGCTGAGATTTAAATAGGGTCTTTAAAGCTCAACTTCATATGATATTCATCCATCGGAGGAGCTTGGCATTTGTTCTTGGTGTGTCATTAACATGTATCAATACATAATAAAATGTAGTGTGGGGGCTTGATTTGTCAAAGGTAAAGGGACCAAGATGAAGACCATTTTATTAACTACTTTCTTTGCATTTGTGTGGGCCAACAACTTTGAGGTTAGTGAAGTCAATTGTAGTATCATTTTTCACTTGCAAATCTCAATGACATTGACACGAATTAGTCAAAGGTTTTTGGTGTTTTGATTTATTCCTTTTGACCTGGTAATTCTCTTCAAATGGAAGAAGTTTTACCTTAATTAGAAAACTAAGTGTAATTAATCATAGGATTAACACCATTCTATAGATGGTACTTTCTTTGAAGACTTAAGAGAAATATGAAACCTAAACGCTCTTTTTGTCTGCAAAACTTGAATCTTATCCAGTGAGTGCTTTTTAAAATATTGATAATGCTGAAATATTGGCTCTTGGTAATCCTGTTAAGTATTATTTAAGTGGATGCCTTGTATTTGTGTTATTTTTGCTGTGTTTTTGGCATGTAAGGACTATTGGACTGTGAATCAATGTTCCTGGAATAGAGGCAGGAAGTTGGACTGAATTTCCAGTGAAGAGAAACTGAAAGCAGAAGTTTTAATTCTGCAAGTTGAACTCATTTTGATTCATTTTGAAGGTCGCTATACTAGTGATAGAAAAGTGCTAACGGGTCAACTATCTCCACCAGCCTTTCTTTGGCCAAAAAGTACACGGTGAATGTTTCAGATAACAAGGTATAGAGCTGGATGAACACAGCAGGCCAAGCAGCATCATAGGAGCAGGA